GGCAAGCCAAGGAGCTAATTATTATTCAGGATAGTATATTCAGGATCCTTGACCAATCCGTCTAGTATATATTACCCTTACAGCCCGTACAACCCCCTGAAACCACCTGAATGTCAGTGAATATACAAGGCATGCCGTAAATGCCACTGACCTGCTTTGTGTTCCGACCCCCAAACATCCTTGCCTCCGCGCAACGTTTCGGGAGCGTTGAACCCATCCCGACGTGGAACGGAAGACTTTTCTCACCATCCATCCGACGTGAACAGCAGCCGTTGAACCTTTCCATTCCGGGAAGTCAGCACTACGTTTTTGCCGCATCCAAATACCCTGAGGTTATTGGCGGTTGGGAATTCTTTCACGTGGATATCGAATGTGCTGCAGGATCTATACCTGGACCCTCATTCAGGCTCAAATTTCTGCCTGTTCAAGAAAATCTGCCTGAACCAGGGTTTGTCCTTAAAAACAGCCTGCGGGCAGAAATCGTTATTCGGGCAAATGCTGCAAATTACTTGCAAAGCACCTATATAAGTTTTGAAGCAATGTTCGACATTTCAATTTGGGTGAGAATCGGCATGATTCGGGCGTGAATTTTTGTGATCGGGTGAGAATTTATGTGATCGGGTGGATGTCGTAGACTCAAGTTGCATTGCATGTATTCATCACTCGCAGTATATCTATAATGAGCAAAAACACATTCGGGCGAGAATTCCAGGGTCGGGCGTGAAAACCATGTTCGGGCAGAAATACTGCCTGAATGGATTCGGGTTGGAATTCTAGCCTGGACGAGTTCCTGGGTCCTAGGTATAGGGCATGGGCTTGGTCTTCAAACATATTAAATTAATCAAACACATGTTAAATGATTCGTGTATAAAAATGCATCAAACGCACAACTCGCATAGTGGAAAGCAAACACACACCCCTATTCCCTGCATGGTCCACCCATCTTATGAACACATGCGATTTCAGCCATGAATCCTCCCGAAATAGCCGCGCCTTGGGATCTCTCGCAGCTCCTGGAGGGAGCGACACCGACACCGACAGCCAAACGGTTCAGATCATACCACAAACGCTACCGACAGCGACAGGTAGATCCCCAGGATGGATATCAGTCCGGCGCAAGGGGTATGGAAGTTTCGAATCATCTCCCACACGGAACCTGGCTTCTGGACCTCCGAGCTACACAAAAGCCATCAACATCCATCAACCAGCGCTAGCCTTGCTCTGCGCTCTCATGGGCTTTCCAACATATATGACCTCACGAGTGCGCCTCGGCCGTTCGCCACTCGCCGCGTTCGGTTACACATGTTCACTCCCCGCTGACTGACATGCTTCTCTTTGTCCTGGTCTCTAGAAACCAATGGACATCAAACAGTTGATGATGATTCAGAAACAACATGTGGCGATGTAAAATATTATTAATTATCACATGATTCCGAACGTGGGGGTAAATTTATCAAAGGACCTTGCAGGACAATCGGGCGATGTTGGCATTAGGATGCATTAGGGCTCGAGACCCAACAAAATGTTGATCCACGATCCCAGATGGTCACACAGAATCAGTCCTCATGCCATACATCAAATCCCCACAGCAAACATATTGAATCACTCGATTCTTGATCCTTGGCATCCACGCACCGTTGAAGCTCTCCCATCACAGCCATCCAAGGAACAGCCGTTTGCGCCCCTTCCACGCGCGTGTCTCGTGCGTGTCGCGCGCGGTTGTGGCGGGTCCTTGAGCTTCCGCTGAGCTTCTCGTAAATCCATTTGTTTTTGGTTTAGCTGCTGGAGCAGGACTTGGACCTGTTGTGCAAAAGACGAAAACTCGTGACGAAGAGACCGACGTCGGACTTGCACCGACGAGTCAAACCGTGGAAGATTGGAACACTTGGAACCTGGGCTTGGCGTTTTCATGGGGCGCCGGCAGGACAAGGACTGCTTCAAAGGGTATGACGCCCCCATGCACCTGGTATGTCGTTGGAGCCTCAAAGTGGACAACGAACCGACGCGCAGCGTCCCGTCGCCTCCAACGGAGCGCCTTTCACCAACTGAGCCTCCAACTCCTTGACGCGCGCCTGTGCCGCAAGCGCCGCAAGCCGGTGTGAGCTCATCTGAACACAAACAGGAGTCACTCAAGTATAGTAGGCATCTACTAGATGTGTACATATTATTTATACTTTATGGCCTATAGTGTCTAACCATGTTTGTTCAATTCAATTGACCAAAGAAGCTGAACAGGTTGGCGTCCCAGCAGAGTCAGTACCTACATCCATAGCAGCTCTTGGAGACCCCTCGGGACGAGACAAACCATCTGTTGGGGGGGTCTCCCTACTTTACACAAACTAGTGCAGACCGGGATCGGCAATGACGAAGAATCATATTCAATCATCTGAAGAGATTCCTGAGTGGCGTCCCTGTGAAAAGCCCAAATCAAGTGATTCTCTAGGTGACCTTGTCATGTCGACCTGTTACATGGCTGCCTTCGCCTCATTCTTCTCCATCTCTGTGATGGCCAACCGCTTCCTGCCCGCGAAGCCAGGTCAAACTCAGCGCTGGCAGCACTGGTGCTGCCAGGCGGGTTGAGGAGGTGCTGCCGTTCATTGAAACGCTTTGGTGCGAGAACTCAGGCAGGGCCCCGGGCATCCCAAACTAGGGCATTTCTGCTGTCCCTGTTCTTTGAGAATTGACGTGCAAGCGGTATGCTCCAAACAAATCGACGAACTGGAAAAGGTAATGAGACGTCCGATGTGGTGAGTGTTGACCATCGAGGCCTTTTCCTTCCGAAGATCTTCTTCAGGGTCCCAATGGATACTGGCTGCCAAGGGTGGTCGCAGGAAAGCCGCAACGTGTTCCCCCCATTTGCCTCTAGCTCACTACTATTAGCTGGATATTAGCTGTATGAACTTCAAAAAGGCTCCCTATATACAAGGATAACCAGGATAACATTCTTCAAGTATGTGATCTTGCCCGACCGCTCTTGATCGTTAAGATCTGTTCAACGATTCAATCCTGTTCTCTCATCCATTTGTCAAAGAGTCCAAGCTACTCTGTTTGCATGATGGCGTGACACTTTAATATCAAGGGGGAAAACACTCGACTCATCATCATATGAACATGTAGCGACCCATTGTTTGGAGAGCTGCTGAGGGTCACCATCACACTTCGATGGAGGGATGAGTCTCCAACCATGGAGCAACATCCCAGCCCATCATATGGAGTCAGAAAGCATCGATGGAGTCAAATCCCCTCGGTCCCTCACAGAGATCCTTGGGGCTTGCAGGCAGGACCCGTCTAACCCACCACATCTGTATATATCCATGTATATAGCCTAGCTCCATACCGTCGAACGAAGAAATCCGACACCACCCACGTGTTCTCCTGCAGTTCGTTGGATCCAAATGCCTGTTGCAAAGAAACAACACTGGCACCACCTGGCACCACGTGAAACAAAGAACACATCCTCAGTACCTCGTTGCGACCAATCCGCCGACCCCAGGGGGGTTGGTTGACCCACCCCTGTTTGGCCAGTCCGGAGCTGTTGGAGCTGTTCCCGGAGTCGGGTCTCCACCTGGGGAAGAAAGGAGAAGCTGACGGGAGCAGAGGGAAGATCGATGGTTTTGGGGTCAAACATAGTTTTTTTTTTGCAAGGCCTCTTAAGGGTTTATATATGTTTGCATTGATTTTGTTGGTTCCTCTTATCGTTTATTTTTTTCAATGATTTTGTTGGTTCCTCTTATCGTTTATTTTTTTCAAAGTTTTGCTTCGTTTGTTCAGGTTTGCTTCTAAGCAAACGGATGCACCAGCACAAGAAAGAACTTACACCAGCGAAAGATGCACTGAGAAATGCGAAGAGCTAAATGACCACAACGAAACTTAAGAGTTCCATCGTGTTTCAGACATCCATCTTTTGCTCAATCCGCAGCCGAACAGCTCTGGCGCTGCGCTGTCCATGGCGCGCGCCTCGGCGTTCGTCTCGTCGGAGGTCTCCGAGGCAAAGGACTCCATGGTGACCTGCCGCTCCTGCGCCTGCCAAGCGACAGAGTCGGGCGCCCAGTCGGTCGGGTGGGCCGAAGAGCAAAGAGAATGAGGTGACCCAGCAAGTTCATCCATTTTCAGGATATGCCCCCTATGTATCAAAGAAAGGAAAAGCCTTTGAAGGGCTCATGTTTTCTATTTTCCACACCTGTATCTTCCAACTGTACAAACAAATTGCATAGGACGATGTTGGACAACCCAGGTCTGTGATGTGTTCGTCGCACATACCTGGAGGTGGGAGATGTGATGATCGCCGAAACCCAGGTCGACCGACCACGCCGAGCGACCGAGCGACGACGCAGCCAGCGCAGGGCGTCCGCACAAAGATCCCCCCGCGAAGCTCAGGTTTTGCAGCCAAAAAAGAGGAATCACACAGTACATCACGGTGGGCTGGTGATCTTGTGAGCGTCACTCGATTGACCCAATACTATAGTTCGAGACATAGCTGGGAGATGCTCGGAGATTGGTTGGACCTTCAAATTGCAAAGTAACCTATAGCCCCCCCTCAAACAAAAGCATCTATATCTGCCTGTAGCCCTCTTCCACTTCCTGTTTCTGGCCTTCTGATGAAGATCCATGTCGGACTCCATGACGTTTGGATCGTTCTCTGCCATCAAAGGTGACGTGTCACACACTCGAGCCAAAACAGGTCACCGAATCTAGCTATTGACCAGATTGACCACAAGAAGTGCACTACTTTGAAGCAATTACTTGGGTAAGACCAGGACTGGGTTGACTTGACTTGCATTGATGCAATCTAGCCTCTAGTCATCTCTAGTCTAATCTAGTACTGAAGTGGTCATGGAGGTCCAGGTATGATTCCTTGATGTTCCTTAGCTTCCGTTGATGCCAAGAACAGTTGGTAAACGCACCTGATGTTTCAATTGCTTCGTTCCACCCCACATGGTGTGCCACTATCCTCACTGACCCCCCACGCCGGCACGCCGCGGCCGCCCGCGTTGGCGCACAAAATCTACAGCCCTTCACTTTCAGGGTATCCTCCTCACTGGGATCACTGCCTCAGAGAAGCACGGATGCGCCACGGGCAGAGAAGCACTCTCTTGGCGCTGGTGATTCGACTGAGACTGGACTTCCGGTGCCAGAAAGCAACCTCCCTGAATTCCAATATACAATTGGAAGACCACTGACCTGACTTCTTCCTTTGGAGTACAAATTCTCGTTCAACCAACCTTTACAATCCGCCAGGGACATCTCGTCCTTCTCAATCTTGGACGGTCCAATCGCCAGACGCCCATCGGAGTTTCATGGCTCAAGCTTCATGATTGACTATTTGAAGTTGACGTGATCCGTTTCTCTCTTCGAATGCCGGGCACCCCGGGCACTGCGGTGGCGAAGGCTTCTTCATGCAGGTGGGGGCCTCAATTCCGCAACGGGTGGATGAAAGGGTTGCTAGAAGACACATGAACACGGTTCTCCTTCTCTCCGTTTTTAATCTTCTCTCTCTCTCTCTCACCCCTTGGAAGAATGACAAATGAACCAACACATTGTTTGGGGGTCTCGGTCTCAGTCTCCCTATTTCACCACACACCCCATATCGCTCCGAGGAATATGTGACTACCAAAACAGTTGTCGTTGGAGCCTTACCCGGGCAAGCTCACAACCTCGCTGGTGTCACGAGCGAGCTATGATGGGATCGGGGCCTCGTGCTATCAAACTCTTCCCAGGGGCCTCGTCTCAGAGTTCCACTGCTCTTTTGGCACTTCTCAAGCCGTTAAGTATGGGCTGCTCTACGACTAGTTTCCTAAAATAGGTCTCATTCAGGCTTGTGCCCCAAATTACAGACAAAAACTCTGCAGCCGCCATGCTTCATGACTCGAGTCGAGTGAGACATGTTCGATTCTTGGGGCAACTTTGGCAGTCGGTCGCGACGCAAGCGATGAAGCAAAGTGTGCCAGTCCGTGACTGGCACGAGAAGTGGCACCCATGCTGCAGAAGAACATGAATCAGGATGAACCGAACTGCCATCTTAAGAAACTCTTGGGGGAAACGCTTGTGAACAACCGTTCGGAGTGACGCTTTTGGTTCAGAACCTTCGGATTTCCGCGTGGAGTACCTGAAACTCATCAGATCCCAGGGGGCACGTAGGTTTCTGCCGCAAGATCTCAGACGTTGTCGTCTTTTCGTTCACATTCTGCGATAGGTGAACTACCACTTCGATTGGTGACAGGTATTGCCTGGCACCACCAAGCCAAGTATAACCAAGGTTTGGTTCACTGGTGCTGAAGGCTTTCTCATTCAAAATCCGTACCAATGGCAAGGCCACAAGGCTGACGACTGACCCTGTGGAGCTGCTGAAGGATCTGTTCTGATTCTATGAGGATGCTGATCAAACATCTTTATTTAGTCTGCGTTCTATATATATATATATAGACAGAGATGGGCCATCTACGCAAAGCACAATGTACCATGAACCAATTCCACATATTTGGTCCAAACATGTCAAAAAACCTTGCCGCATATGTATAGTGCAAGTTCACCAAAGTTTCAACATTAACCAAGGACAACAGCCCTATTATATTATTTCGGCCATCTCTGAATATGGAAAGGTTCACCTAAGAAACCCCTAATGTACAATCTCAGGTGGCACAAAACTTGTTAATGGTGGACCCATTAATGATTAAGCTATGCCTATACACTTCTGCCTATACAAACTCTTCCTCCTTCTCAACTCCCATTCCCAATTCCTCCCTACTGGACCCAAGCAAACGGCCGTCCTCCCTCGCTTGGCTCGGGGCCAGTGGAAAGCTCTTGGTCTTGGCATCACACATGCGCCTCAGTGGACTGAAAGAAACACGCCGGGATGCGGATGCCCGTGAGGAAAACATGTGCCATCCTGGAAGAACTCCCACACGCTTTTCTCAGATTGAGAAGAAACACCATGCTTTTTGGCTGTGACTTTTGCTCATGCTGCAAGCCAACATGATCACATCCAAAAAGGCGACGATCATGGCTGATCTGAAGGAGAGTGCGGCAGTTTTGTTTCTTTTCTTCAGTCAAAATGATGGATGAGAGTGACTTCAACTCACTTTTGTGTTTGGTAGTTAGTGAACTGTGTTGGCGATACATGTGCCCTTATTCACAAGCTACATGATGTCCTTATGGTCCTTATGGTCCAAACCTTGTACAAAGCGGATGCATTTCTCGACCGCACTTTGGAGCAGTTCCGTCAAACATGGTCAAAGCCGTGTAACTCGGCTGTGTCCAAACTCAGCCAGCTGTGTCCTAACTCAACCGTCGCCCAGCTTTGGACAAATGTGCGCAACTTCTGTCCGTGAAAAATGTGGGGGGGAGGCTGACGTGACAACCTTTGTCCACTGATTGCACCCATAAAACGGGTGGTATTGTCTTGTTGCACACAAACATGACTTGGCATTGGCATGCTCTTCTCAGCCTCCATGTCAGCAACCGCATGGCTCACAACAGTCTGGTGAGTTTTCTCTTTCCTCTGATCACAGCTGCCTGATTGTGCCTGTTTTTTCCCGATGAAGAACTGCAACACCATGCAGTTCTAAGTTTGGCGATAGCTCCTAAAACATGCGTGTTTTCCAAAAGGCAAGCGCTGGGATTCCCAGTCACACCATGATCAGCATGCTTCGCCCAGGCACATGCCATCCTTGTCTTCCTTTCCTCCACCGACATGGACATAGCCTGCTGGCATTTTTCTGAGCGTAGCCGGAGAAACTATCGAGTTCTTGAGATAGGGACTGCTAGGGACATGCAGATGGCAGAATTCGTGCACAAGCCTGTACATCACACTAAGCGTGGGTATGGTTGATGCATTCTGTATCCAATGCAGGATGCCCAAAAAAGTGCACAGGTCTTGGTCGTACCAGTTGCGCCCTTGGGTTTGTGAACTCTGGAGCGCTACCAAGCACCGTCCAGAGGAAAATGCAAATCAAAGTAGTTGACAACTCAGGTTTCAGCTCATTGCAACATACCTGCTGGCCTACAAATTTTTGGTTGTTGGTGGAACATGTTGGTCATACTGGCCTACTGTAATTACATAGACCGTCTGGGATATATACTCTGCAGCCTTAAAGTTAAGGACACGCACAACAAAGTCCCTTTGCAGGATAAGAAGCAGTGACTTGATCAATTGCAGTTTCTGCTTGGTGCTTATCTCCTTCACCCCCAGGTAAGTCCAGAAACTATCATATATTATCATATATTCAGGAACCATCCCCAATTCCATCACTCACTTTCCATCTGGTTGTAGCCTGGGCTTTTTTGAGTTTCACCCAACCCATCTCGCTTGTTCGTTTCTCCAACCCGGTGCCTTGCTTGCAGTTCACCTTGCAGTTGCAGTCCTTCTCGCCAGGCACCTCGGATCGGGAAAGGGCCGTATCGAACCAAGACGAGCAGTCGGAGAAGGCCACGAGCAGGAGTAGGAGTCCCTACCTGGAGTCGACCCTTTCGTACCTCGGAAAGTGGACAAAATCCTGCACCACTGGACGAACAAACTCATGTATACCCTCGCACTCCCTCTTTAACATTGAGTTGAGGAAAGAAGTTGAACGACCAAAATCCTGCATCTGAGTTGGGGGGCACGGGGGTCTGTACTATTGGAGGACCTCACATGTGTTGCTTTATCGATGCAGGATTTCCTCCATCAACGGTATATCCCATTTTCGGTACTTGGAGGGTCCAGGTATATTTCCGACCAAACACTCGCCGGCTTCGCTCCGCAGCCGTTTGTTGGAAAAAGCGACCCCGTGACTGGGCGGGAGGGTCTTGAGCGACCCTTTGTGGAGCGGAAAAGCGAGGGGAACTCCTTGAAATTCAGGGCAGTCTTCTGTAGTCTGCTGGATGAACTCCTTTGTGGAGGATGCGCCTCCACCAGGCTGTCGAAATCACGGAAATCCGTCTTTGGTGCCCTATAGACCGTGGAATACAAGCAACTTTTTGCGGAACACTAGACATACAAATGCAGATAGTTGGGGGTTGAGCCCGGATTCATCGTCTGAAAGAACACTGAGGCCTTCTGCGCAGTCGTCGCAGCCGGTGACCTTCAAGCCGAAGCCCCCGTAGATCATCTGTTTGTAGGTTGCCTGACCACGTGAGGTTTTTGGCATTCTTTTTCCGCAAGAGCAGCTTTTGGTGAAGTAGGGCGGCTCTGACCCGAGAGCGGATGAGTGCGACCTGGCACAAAGATGATATATATATATATAGAGCTATAAGTTATAAGCTGTAAGCATCTCTATATATAACTGTACTGAAATGTTTGAACCTCTAAAGTATCAATCAGGACAACGACGGACAACAGATCTGTGTGATCTTCAAAAAGGTTTCCGCCCGAAGCAGCCAGAAAAAGGACAGCGCGGCGGAAGGTCTTTTTGGAACTAAGCCGGATCTCATTTCCGGCATCGCACCCTGGAAGGGTCACTTCTTAGAAGTGAAATCGATGGTCAGTTGTGTGGGAGTCACGAATTGGACCTCCCAAAGACGGCAACACTGCACTATATAGAGTTACTAGATGTTCTGTGCAGTTGCCCTGTTTACTTTGGGTCACCCACACGTTAAAGTGTAACGGTCTTCATCCACCGTAGCGTAGCAGCGGCGAGAGCCGGGTCACGTCCCTCTTGAGAGTGAGGAACCAGGACAATTTGATCTGCATGACTGAGAGGGTTGAACCGACGGTACCGGTGCCATCAGAATCCTTTTTGCATTCTCATTGGAGGGCCAAAATGTGGGAAACCTCTGTCACCTGCAGGCTGCTGGACACAAATCCTGAATCTTGCATGTGCTTCAGGATTGAACACCGAAACTGTAAAAGCCGGATGCTCCAGCTAAAAAAACAGAAATACTGATTGCACATCTGAAATAGAGATGTTTCAGAGATGCTGGTTCCTTCCGCAGGTCAAAAGGTTGTGCTGCGGAAACTAACATCAACTCTACTATGGTCACTGTCCCACACCCACAATGCCGCTGTTCCATTGAGCCGGATGGCCCAGGGTCTTCCTTCAAATCAGCCAAAGCTTGGACAGGTACCACCCAAACACGACAGACCCTCCGACAGACCGGGGCCGGAGTGGTGGGGACCCCTTTGGTTGGACGGATTCGGAGCTGCGGTCCTGGTAGGGGTTCTTGCACCTGAGGGCGGAAGGCGAGTGAAGCCGCCCACGGGGAGTGGCGGGAAATGGAGGATTTGGAAGGGACGCCCTGAGGTGTCTGTGGATCTAAGATTGAAACAATACACACGACGATCATCGTTTATACATAGGGGGCGGAACATGACTATATGTCAATCCCCAAGTGAGAGAAGCATATTTCTTGCGATTGACTAGAAAGAACAGAATCCGCCTTGTCCAGTGACCACTTTTCAGAAGCCAACCTATCCTTCTACATTGATGGTGAAACTGCTGTGGGTTCTTAAGTTATCCAAACTCGGTGGGAAAACTGCCCGTGATGTTCCTAGTAGCGTCCTTGCTCCTAGTAGCCCGTGATGTTCCTTTTCATCCCCTTTCCACGCACGAGATCCCGGTTCGGAATTATGGGCCCAAGAGCCAGGCGAAGAACCAAAATAAACAAAACAAACACAGACTGGAGGTCCAATGAGCTAATGTATACAGTCTCAGTTCGTACCTCAGGACCTGGGAAAGAAAGGACCTGTAGTATTGTATAGTTAATTAGGGTCATGTCCCATTTGCTAGGATATTCTAGGATACTTTGGAGGGTTCAGGTAGATCTAAAGACCCTTTCACCAAAATGAAGGTGGATCCGATAGGACCCGACTCATCAGGTTTGGCAGAATGACCAAAGCGAAAAGGACGTCCTTGCCAGCGACTTGTGATGCTTGTGATGTGTATCTGCGATCCTGTCAAGTTGAGCACCCGGTCCCTTTCAAGATGTGCATGCTGATACTGAAATAGAATCATGCTATACGAGCAGAATTTTTCCTCAGTGCCCGACACACTGTGCCCCACACCTCTAGGCCCGGGCGAATCATGAGAGGTTTGACTGACACGTGACCCGATGAGCGTGTGACTGACTTGCCAAGGCACTTCTCCTGACACATTGGAAGGTCCTGTGCAGGAGCTTGGCACCGAAGCTTTGCACCAGATCCGAACCCCGGAGTCTCGGACCTCTGTTTCTGGGGTTACAAACCAGAGTGAGTCCTGGCTTGGTCTGGCCAATTTAGCATGTGATGTACAGGAACTCCTTAGCAAGTCCTCAGCCCTTTGATCAAGATATTCGGAGCATGCACCGAAATCAGAAAAGAAAAACACAGGCAAGCTGAATAGAAGGCTTCACCAGTGGAGGCTTGCCATGCTTGCCTAAGCCTGTTCCAGGTCTATTGATCCATGGCAGGCCTACATGTGGTGGTGTTGGGTGAATGCCTACCAGCACCTTCCGGGGTCACCTGGAAGCCCGGACACTTGTACTTCTGTTATATATGGATCCCTATTGGACACCCCTTGGAAGGTCCAGGTCAACAGATTGTCTGGCGTCTTGGGTTAGCCAAACGCCCACACTGGTCGTGTCGAACTCACCCCGGCGTTGACAAACGACCAAATGGCACTCGGACTACTTCCACAGTCGTCCTGTCACCTTCCAAACAGCTCAGGATCTAGAGACAACCCCTACCAATTAACAAAGGGATCTCTTCAAAAGTCCATTTGCATTCTTCCAAAAAAGAAACCATAGCGACACAACCAACATCAACCAACTCCGATCTTCCGAGCGGCTCCTTCCGGCCCCGACCGTTGCGACCGATCGCGGAGCGATCGCCTCGTAGAGGCCCCAGAGGATCTTCGGTCGATCGGCGCCTGGGTGTGGATCCGAGCGGCAAAGGCTTTGGTTGGATGAAGTCCGGTTGGAGTCCGGTGAAGTCCAGCTTGGAAAAGACCCTCAAGGCTCAAAAGCTCCATCGACTGTGCTTCACGATCTAAACCCTCAAGGCCACGCTTCGATGATCAATGGCTCAGAGATCGGGCACCCCCAAGCGCCTCAATCCGCCCATCTCTGGGGCGCCCCAACAGGCTTGGACGCGGTGGTCGTTTGTAATCACGGCGGAGCCACGGGCGGCGCACCTCGAGGACAGCTGTGGTGGGGCACAGGATGTTCCCTCCTCTATTAGCTCAGTTCAGAAACCCCTTCTCTGAAGGGACCCTGCCTGCAACAATGATGGAAGTGGACCATGGCCCCTGGAAAGACTTTCCTCTGCAAACAGGGGGTTGTTCACTTCGATTTCTACTGCCTTTGTAGAAGCAGCTGACACCTGGACTGTTTTGGCCGCAAAAAACAAGTATTCATTGTAGGGCAGGTGTTATCTTCCGACTGCAACTTCCAGTCTTGTCTTTGACATGTTTTACTCAATGGTTTGAAGTTCACTCAAGACTGAAGCCGTCATCTTGTGATAGGACTAGAGGTGGTGAATTGGTGTCGTATACCTACTGTAGATCTTCAGTCTGGCACTTTTACAGGGTCCGGCGCCGGACTTCCAATTCCGGCGTTTTTCTGGATTTGGTCCGGCGCTTTTTCCAAGTCACTTTATGTGGATTCTCAAGGCTTTGCATTCTTTGTGGTCTGCATTTCTTTGAAGGTAAACCCACTACTGATGCAATGATTTTGTTTGCAAAGTGTGCTCGTTTGCCTCTTCCGCTGTTTTCTCATTCCACCGGTTTCAGCATGGTTCACACTGGATCAATCAGATCCGTTTAGGTGATCTTCTAAATGAAGTCGGATGAAGCCGGTACAGTGCGATGCACCTGTTGAAAGACCCGTACCTAAGCTGAAAGAGCATAGGCAAAAATGTACTCCCATTGTTTCAGGATGTCGGGGCGCTGGGATATATGCGCAGGTTTGCAGAGCCTGCCGGACAAGTTTTGGGCTGTGGAACATGTGTTGTTCAGAATCTCAATGTTTTACAGAGAGTTGTCAAAAAAATGGCACGTCGTAACTCCGGCGTATTTTCCCGTAATTCCGGCGTAATTTCCGGTAACTCCGGCGTAATTTCCCGTAACTCCGACGTATTTTTTTGGACTGAGTCTTCTGCAGGCTTTGACTTTGAAAAGTTTTTCAAAGAAGAGTTTTGACAGGAACCATGAGTTCTGCTACTTTATTGGGGGGGCCGTCCTGAGGCAAGCTTTAAAGAAACATTAAGAAGCATAAGAATCATGGAGAGCAACCCACTTTGTAAAGAAAACACTTTAGAGACACGGTTGCAGAGAAAGATGAGTTCATTGCCACATGCTCCTTGGTTTCTTCTTGGAAGTCTTTGCTTGGACACAAGTTGCTTATATTTTGTGATGGTTCTGCTCTTAGGCCATTCGGAAGATGGGCGAGGGCAATGGGAACGGGAAGGTTCGAGTGTGTTCCAGAAAAAACTACTCGTGGCGCAAAGGCAGTTTGCTTGTGTATGATCCAACCTTTTATCATCTCTGTTTTTCAGAATCTTGTATCCGGATGTTTTTTCAGTCGGAATCCGGCGGAAAATTTTGCCGGATTGAGGTCCGGCACTTTTTCCGCCCAAAGGAGGATCCAGGATATATTATATATATATATATGTTATAACTCTAATTAACTCTATAAGTTTGGCTTGGCAGGTTTCAAGGAAAATAATGCGTCATATTCTACAAGCCCGTGCTATGGGGGGGGCATTCAGCAAAGGCCACAGGAGCATCTAGCTGCATCCATGTCCGTGTCCATTGTCCCAAAGGCTGAGACAACTTTCGCGTTTTCATTGGATGCATGTCGACTGCGCTGCTTATGGACCTCCATTAGACACCCCTTGGAAGGTTCAGGTATGTTTGATGTGGAGTCGCCCTTCAAATCAACTCTCTGGCTGCCGTGCCGTTTTCATCAGCAGCAAAGCCGTGCCGTGCCCGAAAAGAAGGCTGCATGGCACAGGGGGGGCCGGTCCTCTCGGTTCCCTGCCCCTTTCAGTTGAGGCACTTCTTCCCATCTGTAAAGCCTTCAGCTCTCCAACAGCAAGCCTCACAGGCATCGGATTCTACGAAAACACCACTGATTCTGGAGCAATGACTGGGAGCGGACAGACTGGGACACCTGCAAAGAGGGGGGGATGAGAATGAGAAGAACACCCTGCAATCTGCCTCCGATGTATTACACGATTTTAAGCCAGGAAAGTGGTTGTGGCTCCAAACAAACCACCTGTCAAAGTATATATTTTTGGAAAAATATATAAATTCAGATGTCCAGCTCTGTTTTTCTCCACCGCCAGAAAGGAACTTCTGAGTTCTCAAAAAACATGAGGCTGCGATGATACCACAAACATCAAACATGATTCCGTCAAACGAACAAGTTACACAATGGGACACGACTGGGCCCAGTGAATGGAACATGAGATTACTCATGAGATTCCATGGTGGGATGTTTCTGGCCTAAGAACAACGCTCTTTTTGGGTGAAACTCTATTCCAAAATTATGTCCAAAATAAGTTGTGCCGCTGAAAAATTGTAGAAACACGTCCAGGATTGCCAGAACTTCCAATACGATTGGGATCAAACCAACATAAAACTGCCCCTGGAAACGCTTGAACGCACAGAAACATACCACACGCCTTCTTGAAACCACACTCATGTGATAAACGTTCATGTCACATTGAGTGTGTGGTTGCATGAAGAAAACACCCACCCCTGCAAAAAGGCTAGTCCCGGCATGTCCCAGCAAAGTCAAGATGTATATTTTGTGCATGCAAAGCTTGTTTGATGCAACGACGACTAAAACTTTGGCCATTTAAACAATCTAGACCAGCCATTTTAGTCCTGATGGTTGTGAGACGATTGTGTCATCCCGGCCTGGCGCAGTTTTCGATGTTTTCGCAGCGGTCCACTTGTGCCACAAACGTGGCCCAGGGTTCGGGCGGGACAGAAAATGCGATACCAGTTGTGTTTTTTGCGAATGGTTTGTCTCCGCGAGAAATGTTTCACCGAACATGTTCGCAGAAACAACACCCAAACCAGGGTTCCATGTTGGGTGGATTTCATTGGCCAAACGGCCTCTTCAAGAACCACCCACATAGAACCCCTGATTTGTGATTTGCGTAATGTCAACATAGGATTAATGAACCCCTCCTATCATAAAACCCAGCTCGAACCCCCAATACTACACTAATTTAAAGCCTGCATTTCCACCTTGACATCCACCGATATATATCTATATAATCACTTATTATTTACATTCTTTTGGTCAGTATCCAATATCTTCTGGTCCACTCATCCATCATGTTCATCCTCCTTCTGCTTCTCATCCTGCTTTTTCTTCTCATCCTTCCCACAATTCGCTAATTTTCCCTGATTAAAACTCTATCAAAATCTTAAGGTTTCCAAGCTCACAAAGGGTACCCCTCACCCAGGCCCTGCCCCCCTCTAATAGTAGGGGCCCCTCCCCCCCAATTAATCAAGCCCACCCTGTGGCCTCCATCGTGCCTTCCATCTCTTTCATTCTGCAATCCTCTTTCTTTTCCTAATCATCCCAATCTCTTTCATCAAAGAAAACAATGTCTCCCAATCTCGTTCATCTCTGTCCTAATCATCCCACTCCCAATCTTTCCTAATCTTGTCATCATTTCATCATCCATCATCAGGTCATCACCTTTATTAGGGGGATGTGGTCGTCCAATACCTCCAATCTCGAACCTTGTTGACCTTGAAGGGGGGCCTGTTGATTAATCCGACGTCGACATTCGTGCTGGACAACTTTGGGATTACCGGCAAATCAGTACACAGTCCTTTATTCAAGGTGATTCATCTCAGCACATGTGCACTACATCATGTCCCATGTGTATTGAAACCTGTTAAATTTTAACCTTACCGATTACCTAGAAGGCGTCACCTAATTGTAAGTTACAATTTCCTAGGTTTGATACCTCAATCAATGTACCTTACAAAGACTAATTCACCTGACAAATTGTAACTTACAACAGCCTATGTGAATAAGTTTGTCAGTTGGCAAGGTTTTGTAAACTTACCTGGCTAGTGTTGAGCGGAGATCCAGCAGCTCGCTCTCATAGGGTCGAGCAGTTCACTGCACTCTGAGGCCTGTTACGCCTTAGGAGCATCCATAGTAGAGTTTCTTGAAAGGCAACTAGCTTGCCAGCTGTTGCCAAGAAGTGTGAGAGGTGGCGCCACGCACGCATGTCGTATTTTCTGCGTTCATAGCAGCGACTGCCGGAAAACAGTTAATGACGGCGCTCGGACTCATACATGGTACGAACTTGCAAGTGCTAGTACAAGGGTCTAGGGTCATGTACTTGGGCTTCATGTTTACTGATAAGGGTTTGCTCTCAATTGGTCAGACATCCCATAGGCCAGAAAAATGTAACTTACATTCCAAACATGTAAACTACATATTTGAGGCTTCGTGGAATAGTATCGCATGTCTCGGAGTTCCCTGAAGGCCAATCCTAAAGTAAGTTGATACATGTATGTACAGGTCTCCCACGTTCTAAGTTACATTTTTGAGCCCCCCCACAAAAGGACGCCAAGGGGGGGTAACTTACAATTGAAAACACCCCTAGGGGGGACCCCAGAAAATGTAATTCACATTTTTGACGTCCCCCCTCAACTCCATGGGTAAGGGGGGTAGGGATTATTTTTCAATTGTTGGTAGCCGAGGCATGACGAGGCGTGTCTTACAAAAAAAGAAGGATCATCCACAAACCTTTGTGAAATTAATAATGCCGTCGGGTCCAAACGTGTTTTGTTCAGCTTTTGCACCGGCTGAAACATGTCCTGAATCACAACACGTTCACTGATAACTCTCACTTTGAACATGCATACTAACTTAAAGTATTGGCGTTTGTACCAACTTGATCAAATTTGTTTGTTGTCCGAATGTTTTTTGTGCACATATGCCACGAACCACAAAAACATGTGTTCTTGATGACTACATATGCCCAAATATGCCCAATATATCAAACAACATAATTGGGAGGGCGGAAAAACGGCACCAACCAACACATATCGATACGCTATAATGTCAAAATTCACCTTGCTTTTAAGCCTCAAATGAGGCATACTGAGGCCAAGCCAGTCTTAGTTCACACCGAAACACCATCCGCCGGCCTCTTGCGTGGTCAGATCCTGGGCAATGCGTCAGTCAACCAAGTGGCGCAACGTCAGCCTCCATTAAGCCTTATACTGAAAAGGTTTCCGCTCATAGCGAGGTCAAGTATATGTGCCCACCTAAGCCGCCGGCTGCTTGAGCAAAACAACCGCCCAAAAAAAACTGATGGTCAGCACCACTGCGCATACTCTTCGCTTGACACAACCAACGGTGCAAGTCAATTCCGCAAGGATCACTCAAAAAATCCACGGTAAGTAGTGCGAACAAACGCTCCCTCTTACTCACCTCAGATGCCGGAAACCAACGGCAAAACAAGTGACTTTGTGAACGTTGTTCATCAGAGGAAATTGGGCTCCGTATGCTCGGTACAAACGGTTTCCTTTGGTCTATATCCTCGCCAGATTCCACCTTGTCGTGAAAAGACAAGCCGTCTTTGGCAAAATATGCCTCATAGAGGAAATTTTGGAAAGGTAGTGATGTGTGCCGTTTCGAAGAGCCAAGTATTTACGGGTTGGGTGAATGGAGCCATGGGCCTTGAAGGTGTTTTACTTGAGCAGGGACTTCGTTTAATGCAAGCCCTTTTACCTGAGTGCGGGGCTTGATTCATGAAGGTCGTTGCTTGAAACAGAACCCCCCTTTATGAATGTCTTCTGTGAGCACAAAGCACCACCAAAAATGTTCAGTGTCAGCCAGCGAGCCGCAGGCCCGGGAAAAATGATGCGACTGCAAGCAGAAAGGATGTGTTCTTATCACAGCTCCAGCACAGCTATCATCACGACGCCGAGAAGACACCCACTCGTCGAGGGCCCTGACACGTGCAAAAACGTTGATCCCAGATTTGAATGCTCCCAGCTGGCTACCCATCCAAGAAGCGGCTTTGTCCGTTCTAGCTTTGTTTTGGTGAGGCTTGTTTCTGTATGGGAGAGAGGGTGTGGGATCATCTAAGCCTATAGCCATGCCACCCTTTTGTGCGCCTATAGCCTGTGATCAGAACAGGAGCGCCCTCGTTCAGGCTAAAGCTCTTGTGCTCAGAGAGGTTAGACGGTTATACAAATCAAGTCACAAGACTCCACCTGCCGGTCGCCAGTCGGGCTGGTTTACCTGCTTCAGACTCTGTATTCCTAAGAGACCTACAAACTCATGCTCGACTCTTCACACATTTTTTCAACCCCCAACCAATATTTAGCCGACCATGCCAACTCATGGCTGCTGGATGCAAGCTGCTTGCTTAGTCTGGCCTTTCAGTCAAAACTTCATCCTCTGAAGCAATACATTCCTATCATTGGGAAAACAAGACCTCTCTGAGTATCTCTGAGTTCCTTCAAGGAACTTGAAAGCCGAACAAACCAGCCAAGTGAGGCAAGTTTATTTTACAGTACCGGTTGATGGATTTGTGTATCACCAGTGGTGCCAATGCAAGAGCTGACTACTCTGGCTCGGAACTATTCGTCAATCGCCCTGAATCTGTTCATCAAAAGCATGCGGACATTCAACATGTTCTGCTTCTAGAAGGGACCTGAAGCAGAAGGGACCCCATCTATAATAGAGGCTGGGTTTCTGCAAAGTGATATAGGGAGACGACTGATGACTCTGCAACACCGAAGAGGCTTTAAGATCGTTACGTCAGCATGTCCGCAAGGGTGCTTTAATTGATGATAGACCCCCATGGCCACTACATGTCACCACCTTTAAACACCCTAAACGCTGGGTTTCCACAAGCCGGACACTCGACACGTGAACCGACGACGACTGAGGGCCTCTCCTTCCCACCCAAGCACAACCTCTCTTTCGTCAAACTGGCGCAGTCGCTCGAAGCATCTGGCGACGAAGGGCCGCCGCATCCGGTCGTGCGGAGGTCGAGGAGGTCGAGACCGGTCGCGACCGGGTGCGGACCGGAGCTCCTCGCCGGTTTGTTCGGATTCCGGTACCACGGGCGTTTTCTGGGCCAAAAAGGAAATCTTCAACGTGGACTGGGTCTGGGAGAGGTGGAACATCGCCTTCCATGGGTTCATGTTCCAAACCGCCTCTGGTGGTGGGTGTTTGTGGAGAATGCAGAATGCTGGCTTATCAAGGCCTAACGTTGACAGTTGATGGATGATTGTCTAATGTTTGTCAAGCCATTTAGGGGTATCCATTGCCTATAGTGGTAGTGGCACCCCAAGCAGGGCCGAGTTAGTGTTCCTCAGTTCGCCGAACAAAAACAGACTGGAAAGGGCGAACGCGGAACGTTCGGCGAACGCGGAACCAGGCCTAGCTCCACGGTGCCCTCGATGGCTTCGTGGCAGCAAAAGGTATACTCCGGCCTTGAAGAGAACCCCCCTTCCAATTCCAGTCCGGAGTTAAGAAAGGTTGCTAGCCAGTTGCAAAATGTTGGAACAAAAGCTAGTGAGCTCCTTCCCTCCCTTCTGCGGATCGGTTGAGAAAGCCAGCCGGTCAACGGTCATCCACCTTGTTAGTTTCCGGGTTAGGCTTGGTCGTGGCGGATGGCCAAGGAGGATTCGATGTGCGGATTCAAGTCCCAGTTCACAGTTATTTGAACAAAAATAATGTATCATATATTACATACAATAGTAAGGCAATAAGGCAAAAGGAAGAGACAACGTTTCATGACAACGGCCATTTGTTTTGCCGTAACGAAGTTCTAGAAATGACTGAATTGATTCTTGTGTGTTTTTGTTTGGGGCTTCTGTCCATTACACGGGAACTTTGGAGGTTGTGGGTGTCATTTTGCTGCACTGAAGTAAGTGGGTCCTCTCCCAACTTGTGAAGTAACTACTAGTGGTATACGGGACACAAGTGGTTTGGAAACGCACTGTAGCTTTGTACTCTACAATAAAACTAGGGATTGCAATCTAGAGCTAGAAAACTAAGTTTCTAGCGGATGTGTTTGGCTTTCAAAGGCAATCTTGTTGCTACATAATGAACCTGCCCAATGACCAAATGCCCACCGGATAACCCACCAATGTTTCCAACCAGTACCTTCGAGTAACCGGCCAGCTCCCTAACTTTAATCACTCATCCACTCACCCACAAATGTCATGCTCCTCAACGGCGCCAACCAAGGGCCCTGACAAACCTCCCAACAATGCTTGAGAACAAAAAGGTTCGGCGCCAGCTAAAAGCCCTTCAGTAAAAGTGTGTGTGTCTTTGGAAGAAATCTGTCAATTACGTATGTAAAAACATACATCTGTCAAACCGGGATTGCATCCATATTGCATTGGGATGTCCATCATCGGACCCTTCGCCGGGACGCTTTGGGTTCCCGGACTTGCCACCAGCTAAGCATTGCCCGTCTTTCCAAGTCAAACTGAGGCGGATGCCGTGGTGCTTCCGTCCGACAAACACAACAGGCCATGCCCTCAGAAAGTGCCATGTTTTCAGTGCTTAGATTCCCCATCGAATCTCAGGAGCCACGTGAGAACATTGCAAAACTTCAGGCCAACAAGGCCATTCCATGCTGTTCAGATGGGCTGTTCGGATCCGTGGCTGGGGATGTTGAAGGCTCTGCCCCTGCAACGAACATTGTGATTCCCCAAAGGATCCATGGTGGCGCCATGCCCGTTGCTCTCCAACTCCCCGGCCACTCCCTCCGCTCCCCACCGAGTTCGCGCACCTGGGTGCACACTCATAGATCTTCGAGACGCACTCCTTCGATCCTGGTTCACCACCTCCAGTGTGTTTGTAACCTGGATCACGGTTACACACGGCAAGTCACGCGAGGGGCGGTGAGGTGCCGGGAGGGGTGGTGTTTCGAAGCGGTGAAGGTGTGATGGACACTGGTGAAGGTGTGTGATGGGCATCCATGGGCTTCATAGACCCAGTGGAGGTGTGAAGAATGCCACTAGTTTGAAGCTGAATTCTTGGTCTTGGTGACCTGAGCTGTGAACTGATGAACATGGTCGTCAGCGACATGACACCGATCATGTTCTCGGCCCTCGTGCGCCACCGGACGGTCTCGGGAGAGGTCGGAAGGTTCTACGACTCGACGACGGTGCTGTGCCATGCCATAGCGATGTCTGGTTCGCACAACTGTTTCTTATTTTTTCAGAGTCCAACAAAGCTTCGATCTCTTGGAGGTACAGTAGGATTGACCTGTTTCCTCAGAAGGCAATATTTGTCGAATTTTGTCGATGTCTTTTGAACTTCTGCAGCTCGTTCCATTGATATTCACCCCAAGAACGAGTATCAACGCCAGTAACTCCTAATCGGTGTCACACACACAGCAGTCGGTCAGTAAGGGATGGTAAATGGGGATTGGAATACAAAGCTATAGCAAGTAGAATTGGCCCCTCTTAAGCCAATTGCAACTGACCAGAAATCCCACCCCAGGCCCCTTCTGTGCTTGCTCGTCTGTGGGCAGTCAATTTGGCATGGCATCCTCAAAACACATATAACTAATGGACACTACATAAACTAGCACACATATAATCACATATATTATATTATATGTCTAACCAATGAAAACACACACACTTCGAACTTGGGTTTTTTCAGTTAACGCAATTGTCTCGGTGGGAAGGAAGGCGATAGAACCGCATGGCGAAGAGTCCGATAACTTGGAAGTGTTTTAACATCGATTGTTTCGCTTGACTCGGCTGCATATCGGCTCAACTCAGCGGATGTTTTGGGGGTGGAAGCATGAAGAACCATGAAGCAAAACGCGGAAGAGTGGTGTGACAGCTTGTGAAAAACCGAGCAGGTACGTCCAGCTGGCCAAGCTGGATATCCCATTTCACTGGTAGCTTCGGTGGACACAGTCCCAGTGAAATGCTGTGTCCCCCTGCTCATGTAGGGTAGAAAGAGTGGTGGTGGAAGACCCTTTGTCCAGGGTTGGACACACACACACACACACATACTCCCTTCCAGTCACATCGCTCCCAGGTCTAACATGGTCTAACCAACTCACGATGTATGCTGCACGTGACCTGTTTCACAGCGAACGTCGCACTTGCAGTTCTTGTCACCCGCCTGACCGTCGCTCGATCCAAAGACCGGTCGGGGACACGTTTCGCCCCGCGAAGCGCTCGGGGGGGGGGGGGGCAGTTTTGATGCGTTTTGCCCTAATCAAAAGAACTGGGTCGCTCAAATGCAAATCCGATGTCTTCAATGTTAAACCTACTTGAGTAGAACAAAGGAACCATTATTGCTTCTGGGGGAGTTTGGGCTTCCCCTCTATCAAGTTCGAGTGGTTCCTGAGTAGCCAACTAATGGAGATCTTTTGAACCAAGTGGTTGAACACCGGATCACCCCAAGGAAAAACACGATATTTGGTTTATATATTTACATCCATTACCGGTAACTGTGGATTATAACGATGGTTAGAACAGATTTGCAAAAACATAGTGATATTATTTTACCAACTGTTACTGGATGTTGCTGGTATTGGGACACAAGCTTAAAATATGCATGTTTCTTTTGTTGGGCAGTAGTATACCCACCATCCGCCTTCAAAATACATCAGCCTTTGGATTTCCAGTTGATTGACATACAACATATTGAGGCTTTGACCCCAGCAACAATCACCCCGCTTGGCAAAATCACCTCGTGGTGAATGCTAGGATGGGGCACACGAGTGATGGGGCCACTGCACAATCATCAATGATCACATAACACTGCCACTACATATGGCCCTTATAGATGTATAGGCACATGCGGCATGCGGCAAAGAAGGCCTATCATAGCTTTCTTTTGAACAGGTGCACTTCATGATGTTTCATGGTTTGTTTCACTGTGGTGCATCAAATAAACAGTCAGAAATCACCTCAGCCAACGGGGAAAAGAAACAAACACCTCTGCCAGCCCTGCCTTGCAGTTCCTGCAGCCGCTCACCTTCCAAGCGACATCCCTGGGAGTCGGACAGCGCGGCACCTGCGAGCTGTGCCGTGTGAAAGAGCGCGAACCCCCTACTAGTAGCGGTGCCAGGAGCTACTAGTAGCTTCTTGTTCCTAGTAGAAATGCACCTTGTTACTAGTAACGTCCCCATTTGCCCGAAAAAAAGGGTTTGTAGTCGTTTGATGTCGTTTGTTGTTGTTGTTGTTGTCGTCTCTAAAAATGGGGTTGATCGAACTGGTAATTAGGTCAAGCAATTTTCCATACGCAAAGGAATGAAAGACTCGCAACGCAACGGCGGGATAAGCAGCTGTATACCGTATACTGAAACGTGGGTCAACTCCTGGATTTCAGGAGCGAGACACTTGGCCCTTCCACTCCATGCCTCCCAGCTCGCGGCTTTGGCCCTTCCACTCCATGCCTCCCAGCTCGTGCACGCGCACCTCTGGCGGCTTCTTGGGCTCGCACACCTGATGGGGCCGTCAGCTGCTGGCTCTACCGCGGACCCGTTTCAGGTGTTCATGTGCGAGGCGGGACCCTTCTGACGTAGTGCCGGGATGATAAACCAAAAGATCCAAAAGAGAATTTGGACGTAAGTGTGACCATTTCACACGAATTGCATCGAATTGCTAGTGGGGAAACTGCCAAGCAAAATCGGAACCTGAGCTTGGTGTTATCTGTGCTGCGTTGCCAACATGTCTGGTCTTCCCCATATCGAGGCTCCTCCGAGTAGAGATTTGGGCCAAACCCGTGCAGTATCTTTCGGGCGATCAAAAGAACATCATCAACCCACCCACCCGGACTTTCGGGTTGGATGGAATCTCTCTACACGTGGCTTGTCTCCACCACTTCGGTTCAACCATCTCCACCGCTTTACAACGCTTGTCTCGGGCAGAAGGTCCGACAGAAGGTCCATCAGATCAACGACGGCTGCATCACGGCCCACTCGCCGTTTGGTCTCCGGCAGCAAGCGGTCACCGACCCGTCAGCTGCCACCGACCCCGACCCGTCAGCAGCTTGCCGGTCACCGAACCCGCTCTGTTTCGATCCAAAAGGCCAAGGGCTCACCGAAGGAGGTCTTGTCTTCACCCTAGGCGGAAAGGTCCATGTGCTTCTCTTAGGACTAAATGCGCTTGCAAGATAGTAGGAATCAGGTTGTTGGTAGTTTGTAGAAACTGGACGAAACTGGATTGTTAAATGCTTCCTATTGTTCTGGGAGACTTTTTGGCATCACCAAGCTAGATTAGAAATATGTGGTTTCTCAAGATCAAGGACGGCCCAGTTCATCTACTCTGGCTCCAAGGGAGCAGCGCTTGCAAACAGGAACCAACGTTAGCTGTATGGGACTTACTTGAGGAGAAAAACAAGAATCGGCCCTCACGCACATCTGGATCTATGATGATGATCTATCAATCTATGACAACTGCTCAAGGTTGAAGCATAGTGCTTGTGCTTGTGAAGCATGACTTTCTGCAAAAAAACACATGTGACAATGTGTCAGTCTAAGACTGCTCCAACATGTTTCTATCAGCCGTGCGGTCAGTTGCCGAGCAGTCCAAGAATCCGAGCAGTCTATCAGAATCATCCCTGATGACTAGACTGGTCCAACTACCTTTAACCACAACTGCCAGTGAATCACCCAGCCGTCTTTGGTTCCCATCGAACTCCCGCGAGAGGTTCCCGCCGGGTTCTTTAAAAGGGGGAGATGGAGCATCTCCGACTCTCTCAGCACAGCTGAGCTCACAGCATCACCGCACTTCTTTGAGCCTTTCTCACCTGTGAAGACCCAGGGTGTCACACCATCGAAAACGGCCCCCCCCTATATACACCGACGATGGGTGTCACACAGGCGACCAGGATGGCCTGGACACGATGGCGTCTTCGAAGTGAAAGCGTCTGAGTCCGAGCCGCACGGCTCCGGAGTTCGGTGAACCCAGTTCGGCTCCTCCGTGTTTCACGGGTGTGTTTCACCGTGGGGCCCCAAACCATCCCCAGAAGAGGTGATGGTATGGTGTTCTCAGTGATCCACACGACCGGGTAGGTCTGGCCGTCGGATTAAAGTGGAATGTCACTTGGATTTTTTTTTCCATTTTGTCCTTCTCTGACTCACAAGGTTGAGTCTGGGTTCGGGTTCGGATGAGGTACCTCCAAACTCGGAGGGTCCCCACAAGGGGGGCCATGGCCCATTCCCACGGGAGTTCTACCAAGCTCCAAGTTCGCTACAGGTACTACGCGATCATGCGAATTCTCTAAATAACACGTGTCTGCTAACGTGGTCTGCTCAGAGACGGGCGCCAGGAGTTCGTCCGCTCCCGTCGGCCGTCGGTAGCGCTCGGACGGACTCCGAGGCTCAATGCGCTCGGTAGCGAACCGGTCCTTAACCACTCGGGAGTTCTGGCGCCTGACTTTTGAATCATGCCCTCCTCGCACTTCCTCAGAATGCAGGTTGACTGCCTGAACGTGCTCTTTCACCAAAGTCATGGTGCATTTTTAGTGAATCCACATGTCTCTTGACCTAGGGACCTAGATAGGAACCACTCCGAGTGTCTTGGGATTCTTGGTGAAGAATGGATTTCTGCAGGTTGGTCTTCCGGCAGTCGAAATGTGACCTCCTCGGAAAAACGCTGAACACGCACATCCCCGGTTCCACAAACAGGAATTATACAAGAACCTTCTTTTAAGGTTCTTTCAAAGGTTCTTTCATGTTCTTTCTGATGGATATCTTTTCTATACTAAAAGATGACCTCATACCAGTTGCTGCTTCTTGAGCTTTACATGCTTCATCATGCTTCTACTTTCAAGGTATCCTGTGAAGCAAAGAATCGATGCCAGTTGAAAACAATGCCTCGGTTCCCTCCCCACCATCTGAGAGCCCAACACAGTGCAGCCACATTCCTCTCCCACGAAGCACCTGGCATGCAGCATGCTGCGCATTGCTGCGCTTCTATGCAGCTTTGTAAAAAGCACAAGGAGCATGAAGGTGACCAGTGGCAGCGTTGCATCAAGGCGTGCCTTGCGCTCTAGACAAAGAGTTTTCTACAATGAACAGCATCGAGCTTGGGGCATCAACAAAACCACTGGAGTCCACTGCATTTGTTTCGGAAAATGGACCAATTCTTCAACTCTGCCGAATGTTCGATCGATTGTGATGCTCTGAGAGGGGCCCGCAGGTCCGGAGCAGAAACCAGTTCTGCACTCTCTGTACATCTCCAAATCTGGGAATAGCACTACATTCTTCTGAATTCACATCAATTCAAAGAACTTGGTGAAGTAAGGAATCGGACGGTGCCCTACTCTAGCGGCGCAGCTCCTGAAGAGTGAAAAACACCTTGAAACGATGCGACTTTCGAGGGGAATTGGTGTTACAACTGGAGCTCTCAGCTCTCTCCACCCAAACGCCGAGGCTCCCGGCTCATCGCAATTCTCCTCCACCACCTTTGGGAGCCGCGGGTGGGCGCGATCGGCCATCGGAAGGGTAGCTGTGGATAGCTGTGGGGGGTGAAATGGCCAAAAGAGACTTTGAGTGGATCCAGTGACCGGTAGGACATGTTACAACTATTATTGTTATATTATATATTAACCAAAAACACATATAAATATCAGGTTCTAAAAACGAGCCAATTCCGTGGTTCGTGGATGAAAGCTTGGTTCCGACATAGTGACATCGTCGTGACATAGTGGTAACTGGGATCCGCTGGGACAAATACTACACCAAGGACCCAATGCCGACACTGCTTCCGCCCATGTCGTTTTGGGAACCGTTCGCATGGACGGCGTCCAGCCGGGAGCCGATGGCGCCATCGGCGACCGGGACGGCTCGACCGGAGCCTTCCGGTTCGTGGGGGTGCGACAGATTCCTCGATGACACGTCTATAGAGACAATCTTGCCTTCCACTCCCAAAACCGGTTCATTTGTTGAGCTGATTTATCAGGAACACATGCAAGACAACTCACCCTGGGTTCGCCAAAAGGATTCCCGCCGATTTATCATGCCAAAGGCTGCAGATCCAGGCGCATTTTGGGCCGTGGCGAACTGATTCACGCAGAGCTGCTTGCAAACGGGAAGGGGATCCATCCTTGGTTCAAAGATGTTCAAAGTGTCGTTTTTTCCAGACTCGTCTTTGAATTCTGAATCACTCCCAATGTGTTCTGAATAAAACCCATCCAACCCCCAACGAGCTTGTCGTGCGAAACTGGGACGTTCATTGAGAACTTTCAGTGAGGCCTGGTCCGAATAAGTTGCGATGTCAGTTTCCCTCAATGGAACTTGCACCCCACCGTTGAGACTGGAGCGTTGCGGCTGGCGCCGCTTGCTCGTCGTTCGACTCAAAAGTAACGCCATGTATAGGTGAAGGTGATTTGTTCGCGCGCATCGAAGAGCATCTGCGAAGAAACTAAACGACATCGACATGGAAAAAACACTTCAGACATCTTGCCTCCATTGACCCCTTTTCAACCACCCCAATGTAATGCCATCCATGGAGTGTCTCGTACCATGGTTTCACCGTTTTCCGAGCCCAATTGTACAAGGAATCCAGGGTAGATCAAGGGGATGAACGGATGACTGGAGGGCCTACCGGTGTGATGTCGATATGGACACAAGCTAGGCAACATCGACTCTTCAGAGGACCACAACACCTCTTGACTTGAACAAACCTTTGCACCACCTGGCCCGGCCCCAAAATATGACCGCTGCGTATTTTTCAGCAGGTGGGATCGTTTGGAGGTTTTCTTTCTTCAACATTGCAGTAGTGTAGCCCCTATCCCAAGAATTTCGCCAGCTCCAAATCCGGAACGTCTACCAAGATGCAGCTTCAGATGCTAAAGGGGTGGGGTTTGCTTCACACCAGACGCGTTCCGAGCCGCCCCGGTCGCCGCCCGGTCGCCGCCCGGTCGCCGGGCTCCGGTCGTTGGACATCACTCCGATGTGGGGGGAGTGAAGCGACGGGCGTCGGTTCGGTGTGGAGACGTCGGTGGACGTCTCCACAAGTGTGGAAGGCGAAATGCGGAGGGTGGACCTTTTAGGATCGACTGTTCAAACAGAAGATATATCTTGAGTGCAAGTATCAAAGCTCGCGTTTTTTCCTTTTTTTCAGGCGATCATTGGGGAAACCCGAACCCAGTGAATCCAAGTTGCCACTATATAAAAAGGAAACAGCGGTTCTAAGCTCCATGGTTTTAGCCTTTGGAACCACTGCTTGCCAGCAATAGTGATAATGGGAATCCCAGGGTAAAAACTCTCAGACTTCAAGAGCACTCCAAAACCAACGCCTAGGACTCCCCGACTTGGCTCCTTGGGTGGCAGCGCAAGCATCTGGCGGCGTGTGCCTGGGAAGTTCGTATCCCAAAGTAAACTCATGAAACATACACTAATATTATATATATTATACATATACATGTTGAAATGTTACATTATATAAATATATATATATATACATACACACTGACTTATACATTTATAAACTGTTCCATAAACATCCCTAACATCGAATCTAGTTTGTTGCCTCTTGAGCCACCTCAGGTATCTCTTCGACAATGTTGACAATGTCACCTGCTAGGTCTTGTCGGCCAATTGGTTCACACGGCTGAGTGAAAGGCTTGCTTGCCAACATTTGAAGGACAAAGGGGAATAGTCCACAGTCCAGTCTGCTGACAAACCTGAATATGTTGTGTGTATATATGATATACCTAAATCACATATCAATGTATCAACATGTATCAACCAAAGGTTACGTACTTTGACGGCATGGTTTCGCTGGGAAAGTTTCACCATGACGGTCACTACGGTCACTAGGGCACACACACCCACACCCACCCACCCACCCACTAGAAGCGATGCCCTTTGTTACTAGTAGCTTCTAGCTCCTAGTACTAAGGCCAGGAGCTCCTAGTAGCTTCTTGTTCCTAGAAGCGATGCCCTTTGTTATTAGTAGCACCCGCGCACGCGCACACACAGGAGATCGCTGCCTCTTGATCATGCTGTCGCCCTTCTTGGCACATAGCCTTCCACCCCAGCCAGCACCTCGAGCTCCAAGCGGCAGCTCCAACGGCCGAGAACGAAGCTGAGAGTTGGATCTTGAAACCTGAGAGTTGGATTTGAACCTTAGCTAAAACCAATCCTACAAATGAACAAGTGTGAACATGTGTGAACATTGCTGTGCAACACTGTTGGAATCTCTCTTTTGGACACGCAAGCGTATGGCGTTCCTCTCTGACACTCTTGTCGGACTCTCTCGTGTGACACTCTTGTGCACAGTCTTGTAAGACACCCTTGTGATATATACCTTGTCGGACACCTGTGCATCACACTCTTCAAGAAACACTCACAAATCATTCGCAAATCACCGCGACTCTTGAAGTGCGGAACACTCGAGCTGCTTGACATTGGGCAGAGCTGCTTGACACTGTTGTACGTTGCTGTCTGCCACTTCCAAACGCCGCACTCGCGGTGTTTGCAACGCACTTGTGGACCGGAGCTGTTGCAAACACCTGCAACACACACAAATTATGGTGACAACTTCATAACACGCGGCAACGCTTGGCAGGTTTTGATGCATTGAATCCTGATGTGCACGAGGATTCAAAACTCCATTTTACCGGAAACTTGCCGTGAAGACACAGCTTCAAGCAACCCCCCCAAACAGCAACCCCGAAAGCCACAGCGACTGTACAAACCTCCCAAGCACCACCCCTGACCCAAATGTCAACCAATATTGTTGACCCAAATGTACCCAAATGTCCCAATGCCACACTGATGCAAGCGGCAGAACTCCCGAAACACTGCCCCTGACAGGCATGAAGCTCCCACATACAACACCATTATAATGATTACACTCCATGCAACTAACATGGAAGTGGAGAATGGACCCTTGGAAGACCCTTTTCCACTACAAACAGGTGGTTTTCCACTTCCATGTTAGTTCTAGGGAAAGTAGATTCATGAGATGTCCAGCGTATTTCACTGAATGGGACACCTCTTCCATCCTTGTAAATCCACCTGAACGTTTCCACCTGAACGACTTCAATCGCTTGCGCCTTAACAAAGCACACTTCTGGCCATCACTCAACCCCTGAACACCAACACTATAGACACTGCCACCATCACTCACCACCCATTTGGGAATAAAATCAAACATCCCCCAGACTCTTGGCTCCAGTGAGGGGATTCAAAGCAAGCCACCGACAGGCTTTCCCGTGCTGTCAAGCTCGAGGGAACCTGCAAAAACACTCAGTGCAGAGCCATCGACATTCACCAGTACATACCACACCGGTATACATTTTTCTACAACCAAAAATGCACAACGTCCCCAAATCCCCCAGGAAGAAGAGCATTCTCTCTCTCTCTCTCTCTCTTTCTCCCATGCTTTTCCATCATTGCACAACGGCAGTGGACTCATTATCTCTATAGTTTTCCATCATTGCACACCCGTTTAATCCTTCCTTTGACTTCCAAAATGGACCCAAGAACACTCGTGGTCCGCTGTACCTTCAAACACCGGACGCTCATCGAACTCAGATGGTCCAAGAGAGACACTCGCAGGCTAACGCTGATGTCCCATGGTTCTTGTGGTGAAGGTGATGCAAATGTGAGTGCTTTCTGGGAGTTACTGAGATATCCAAATCTGAGAATCTTTAAATGCATCGGAACTGCAGGATCTAACCGGTATTCAGGCAAAATATCTCGCAGCTTTTGACCTGAAAACATCTGGAAGCTTTCAGAGTTTCGACAACATCTATGTAGAACATGCTACTCACATACACTACCACTGATGGGCACAGGAGCAAACCGTCCACACTTTGTCCGACAGTGACTGCGTAGTTCAGGGCTCCTCTCCAACAGCAGGGCACACCATCTGCTTCTCCTGAGCAACCCGAAAGTCCCCGAAGCACGTCGGAAACATCAGAAATGAAGAAAACATGTCCTCCGGTGATAGGACCAGTTCCTATCGAATCCTTCTGGTGACTTTACCATAGTATATATATAGAGAGAGATAGATGTTCATATGATTAATACCCTATGCACTGTGCACCAAAAACCTGTTACATCAAAGGATTGAAAAGTAACATCGGGAATTCACCACAATTCTGAAATTCACATCCGGTTCTTCGAGAAAACACCAAATATCGGGTGAACCGTCAAAACCCCTGATTCGGTGTCCACAGATCGTGTGAGATCCGGACTCCGTCCGGTTTGGTACCGAAGCTGGGAATTCAACGAGAAGAACACATAGTTTCGCTTTGTCTTGGTGATGTGGCTTTTCAGAGTGAGGAAGTGACCTGACCTGAGGATTGGGTGAAACAAGTCGCGGGTGGACCGAGACAAACTGTGTCCTACCTGGGATTGAACTCACCATTGCTGACCCGGACTTTGGAACAAATACTTCGTGTGTTGCAAACAGATGTTTTCGCAATCCGTGTCCAGCCCGTACCAACCCGTTTTTCTTTGACTTCTGCTGGAGCGATGTCGAAGGATGTTCTTTTCCTTTTCCATTTTTGCATGCAAACCAGAAGTCACAAAGATGTTCGCTGCATTTATCATGGGAGGCCATCCAATCGGTTCAAGGTTGCACAATTCAGCAGCTCGTAGACACATATATCATATATATACTCAATGATGTACTGTGGATGGGATGAGAAAGGGGTCAGTGAAACAGCCTGAAAAACCTTTCTGTATGACATAATTTACGATAATTTACGTGTGTTTTAATACAATAGATGTAGTAAAGTCCAATATATATATATATATATTTGGAGTGGTCATCTACCTCGAAAATAATTAGGACATATTGGGACCACAGTGAGTTAAAAGTCGCCAACACATTGCCTTACACTGCCTTACACAAGTTCGCTTCCGTTGGACACGCCTCGGATGGTTCAGGTAGGTTCCGTGTGCCGTTCCGCTAGGTCTGTGAACGTTCCACGGGTCACATTTTTTGGTGTGACAACTCGCTTGCCTCTGTGCAGGTGCACGTCCTCCAAGCGGAGCCCTATACTGGTGACCTGAACCCCAATGAAAGTATGTTTCGAGACGCTGAAGAGTGTCACCCTGGAACCCCTCCACTGCATAATAACCCACACTCCGATCGGAAAGTTGATGGTCAAAAACAGAAAACAACTATATAGCATCTATATATAGCATCTATATATTATATACAGGATCCCTATTATTGTAAGTTCCCAGTATCGACAGTCGAGGGCCTCGAGGGGTTCAAAAACGGTGTGCAGGTTCAACTCCAGCTTTCACATCTGCAAGTTCTAGCTTCCACATTTTTGCCTCTGCTAGCCCTCTCAAGTTCGTTACTGCAGTACTCTTGACCATTGTAGCTTTAATGAGCAATGCGCCATCTGCGTTCTAGAACACAATTCTCTCCCTTCAAAGTTCCCTCGCTATTGTAAGTGATATTGTGACTTTCCCAATCTTTCCCAGTTTGCAGGATTTTTGTTGTTTAATATGATGCAAATGTACATGCGAGTTGCACCAGTAGTGTATCCGCCGTCTCATTTAAGTTGCGCCGAGCATCTATTTTCTGGGCGGTGCAAGTGGGTTTGTTCAACAACTGAAATCAACAACAGTTAAATCTCTTAGGTGAATTGCCCCCCATCGTGGAACCAAGAGGAACCAGCTACGTCATCTCTGCATCCACATTCCAGCTACGCCCCAAGCTCCATGTGAATTTCGTCATGCCAACGGCCGTCGGCACCCTCCCCACCTTCTAAGCATTCTTCTTCACCTTGGGCTTCTGTGGCAGGTCAGCGGAAATCTCTGCTGACCGTTGTGCAGGGCAGTTCCAAGTCAACAAACTCTCCAACCCTCCTCCAGAAGTGCTGGGCGTCCGTGATTTGGTAGGGCTCCAAACACATCCTTAAAGGGAGGTTTGACCCCCACCCAACCATCGTCTCAGGTAGTCCTTACTCCTCGAGAGTTGCGCCCCAAATGCTGAAGCTGAGTTGAACACTGGACGCCACAGGCGCCAAATGGTTAAAAAACATTTAAAAACTATCAAAGAGTTCAAGAGCACGGCATCAAGTGCAGAACAAACCCACGAATGTTCAACACCTGCACTATCGCGAGCACATGCTTGTAAATTGCCGCAAGGAGAACCTTTGGATTGCGGGTCGGGAGTCAATTTCAGGAAAACCATCTGGACCATGAACATACATCATTATACGCACATATATCTTTCTCAGCCCGTACTTTGACATGTCACGCCTGTGTTTGACCCCAAGGCAATTGCTACATGAGATGTCCCACTCCACAACTGCTTGACTTGGGCTTCTCGATCTGGGCTTCTCCACTGTGGAATTCCGCGCACGCTTCGGTGCTTTTCTTCAGAGCCTCGGAAGACGGGACATCGGCTTCCCGGGAAGAACACTGTATAGCTACTAGAAGATCTCTGGCTATGCTCATTCCTGCAAATGATATCTGTTGAAACAGAAACAGCACATGTTGATACATTGATACACATTGTGTATGAAACATCCTGCACGTTCCTGCATCTGTTGTCTTCTCCCTCTCGTTTTTTTTCTACCTTGCAGGCGGACTGCATCCAAACGCCGCTAGCTTGAAACATCGCTGTTTCTGGAGAAACATCAGGCGCATGAGGTTTCTGGGGAAACCCAGTTGAAAATTCAAAAGAAACACTTGCAACATCTTGCAACCAGACTATATACAGTGGTTTCAGAGTAGACGGCACAAACCCATAGACGTCTTTCATATATATATATATATATATTTTATTATATATAGGGGTCCATTTAGTAAACCACCTTTTGAGGATTGTGCCATCTACTCTGAAACCACCGTAAAAGTTAGCTCTCGACCTGCAAAGCAGGTATGCCTGCGATTCCCCCTAGCTTGGAATACAAACCTTTGTAGACCTCCTCAGGTCCATCTGAAAATAAAAGGACCGGATAACCCCACATGATAAGTTTTACAAATTTCACCTGTATATGAACATCACATGGGAGACGGAGTAGTGAGATGAAAAGTCAAGAAGGAAGTGTGAGGAGAGAAGGTATATGAGGCGGTTGTGCTAAGACGTGTAGTATAAGTGATGATGTGATGGACGAGGATGAGAAGGAGGGGGAGGAGGTGTGTGTGTGTGGCGGGCAGTGTTAGTAGGATGTAAAGCAAGAAGAGGTGAGACACGTTTTTTTGTATAGATTCAGAAGTTCAACAAAGTTCGTCACGTCGCCTTTTTTGACCATCTCTCTATGTCACCAAAACCAGCTCGAAGTTCAGCACAAAAATAGAACTCCACCATCAACCAAAAACGTTAAGGCCCAGACCTGATAGCAGCATTGTAGCATTGGTCTCCGCGAAAAACCGACTAGAAAAGGCAAATATACAATCGGCTGCGAATGCCTTCTCTCCGTTCTCACAAACAACTTCTCTCCGTGAGTGAGTGAGTGAGTGAGTGCGTCAGTGAGTGAGTGAATGAGTGAGTGAGTGAGTGAGTGAATGAGTGAGTGAGTGAGTGCGTGAGTGAGTGAGTGAGTGAGTGTGTCGGCCACGCCTGTGTTCTCACAAACTACTTCTATGCAGCATTTACGAGGCGATTCGCATGCCGCGCAAACACTGGTCCTGCAAATCACAATGGCACCAGTGCACAGACACACTTCGCAAACATCCTTCTCGCAGCATTTACAATGCGACTCCAAACCGGCAAGAACCAATACTATGGAAATCACAATGGCAGTCACGCACAGAACCGCCGGGGGGCCCAGCGGCGACCACGCGCGCCGGAGGCCCTTCTGCAGTCTCTGGACACTGCGGCGAGAGCCGGCCCAGCGGCGACCACGCGCGCCGCAGGCCCTTCTATAGTCTCTGGACACTGCGGCCTTCTGCCGTCTCTGGACATAGAACCGCCGGGGGCCCCGCGGCGACCACGCGCGCCGCAGGCCCTTCGCCGCCAGCCCTTCTGCAGTCTCTGGACACTGCGGAGAGAGCCGGCCCAGCGGCGACCACGCGCGCCGCAGGCCCTTCTGCAGTCTCTGGACACTGCGGAGAGAGCCGGCCACTGCAGAGAGAGCCGGCCCAGC